AAATAATTCTACTTTTATATCTATGACTTGACATTTATTTTTTATTTATTTATTTAAAAAAAATTTTTTTTAACATTTTATTTATTTTTGAGACAGGGAGAGACAGAGCATGAACAGGGGAGGGTCAGAGAGAGGGAGACACAGAATCTGAAACAGGCCCCAGGCTCTGAGCTGTCGGCACAGAGCCCGACACGGGGCTCGAACTCACGGACCGTGAGATCATGACCTGAGCCGAAGTCGGCTGCTTAACCGACTGAGCCACCCAGGTGCCCTATGACTTGACATTTAAAGTGAGTTTCTGGTAGGCATAGTTGTGTCTTTGATTTTTTTTAATAGTCTAATATCTGCTTTCTAATGGGGGTGTTTAAAAATGTATATTTAATGTAATTATTGATATGGCTAGATTTAAATATACTATTTTGATACTTTCTATTTCTCCCATCTTGTGTTGACTTTCCTTCTTTCCCAATTGTTTCGAATTTGTCTTTTTTTTTTTTTAAGTATTCTGTTCTATCTACTGTTGGCTGATTAGCTGTGCATCTTTATTTTGGCCTTTTACGGCCTGCTCTAGAATTTACAGTATGCATGTTTAATACATCTTCAAATACTATTATAAGACTGGACATAGAATGTATGAACCATATAACAGTAGACTCCTGTTTCTCCGCTCTTAGGCTTTGTGCTTGTGTTGTCCTATGTTTTTACTTTCCACATATATGACAAATCTCACAATAGAGTGTTAGGTCTTTGCTTTCAACTGTTACCTTTTAAATACATTTTAAAAAGAAGAAAAAAATATTTTTTTTATTTACCATCCAAGTTAAACATCCAAAACACTCTTCGTTCCTTTACGTCTGTTACCATTTTGCTTTTACGGAAGAACAGTGCTGGTCTGCTGGCTACCAAGTCTATTGGCTTTGTATGAAAAAGTCTATATCTTATCTTCCTTCAGAGTCCTTTCCTTGATGGTTTTGTCAATATAGTAACCTTGGACAGAAAAATTAAAAGTCTTACTTGCTGATGGGGCGCCCTGGGTGGCTCAGTTGGTTGAGCATCTGACTTTGGCTCTGGTCATGATCTCACAGTTAGTGGATTTGAGCCCTTCGTCAGTCTTCTGCACTGTGGGCACAGAGCCCGCTTCAGATCCTCTGTTGTCCTATCTCTCTGCCCCTCCTGGCTTGCGCTCTCTCTCTCAAAAATAAATAAATATTTTTTTAAGAAGTCCTACTTTCCATTTACCTGAAACTATCCTTTTATTCCTGGACTCCTTTCCAACCATGTAGGAAAATAAGAATGTATTATCCTTTGTTTTGATTCTGCAGCATGAAAATGAGCCTGAGACAGTTGGTTGTTCCTAGTTATCCAATTTATCTAGCCACTTCTATAGTTTTCATGTGTCCAAGGTAATCATTGTAGAACTCTTTAGAAATTTCCCCCTTGGTTCTTCAGGCAGACATCATACCTGAGTTTAAAGGATATCTACACCCAGTTTGATGATGTCTGGCAAATAGCTTTTGTTTCAAATTTTTATTTGAAACAAATTTAAATTCTAAATTCTAGTTAACATACAGTGTAATAGTGGTTTCAGGAGTAGAATTCAGAGATTCACCACTTACATATACCGCCCTGTGCCCATCATAACAAGTGCCCTCCTTAAATTAATGTCCATCACCCATTTAGCCCATCCCCGTACCCATCTCCCCTCTAGCAACCCTCAGATTGTTCTCTGTCATTAAGAGACTCTTATGGTTTGCCTCCCTCTTTTTTTTCTCCCCATGTTCATCTGATTTGTTTCTTAAATTCTGCATAGGCATGAAATACATGGTATTTGTCTTTCTCTGACTTACTCACTTAGCATAATACATTCTAGCTCCACCTATGTCATTGCAAATGACAAGGTTTCATTCTTTTTGATGGCTGAGTAACATTTCATCTTCTTTGTCCATTCATCAGTTGATGGACGTTTGGGCTCTTTGCATATTTGCCTACTGTTGATTGTGCTGCTATAAACATTGGGGTTCATGTGCCCCTTTGAATCTGTACTTTTGTGTCCTTTGGGTAAATACCTAGTAGTGCAAATGGTTTTTAAGTATATTTGTGGTTTTTATCTATATTCATGTTGATGGAGCTCTTTAGAAAATAAACTTTTGATTTGAGAATGACTTTAGATTTAGAGATCAGGTACAAAGATAAAACAGCAAGTTCTTATATTCCCACACCCAGTTTCTTAAATCATTGTGGTACGTTTGATTTAAATCACATTGGTATGTAGCCAACATTGGTACATTACCATCAATTCCAGCTTTCTTTACATCTTAGCAGTTTTTCTACTCAGGTCCTGTTTTTTGTTTTGTAATTCATAGATGGAGTTTTCTTCTCTGTTTTTGAATCTTTAGGTCCATTTTAGTAAGTTTCATGGATGCGTATTAAATGTGCACTCATTCCTCCAAATTTACTGGCTGTCTGCATTGTTATTTTGTGAACCATTTGCATTGCTGTTGCTGAGAACCATTCTAAATGTTTAATTTTTGCTGTTAAAAACTTGATAACAGTGGGGTGCTTGGGTGGCTCAGTTAGTTGAATGTACGACTCTTGATTTCAGCTCAGGTCATGATCCCAGGGTTGTGGGATCGAGCCCCAGGTCTGGCTATGTGCTGGGCATGGAGCCTGCTTGAGATTCTTTTGCCCTCTGCCCTGCTCGTATGCATGTGCACTCTCAAAAAAGAATCCCAAAAACAGAAAACACAGAATTTTATTACAGTATATTTGAAAACCTAATGCAAACATTTAATTGCATACAACTGTTTTTATAACTTTTAACTTTGTGCTTAGTTGTCAGTTTCTCCAAAATCTGAAGTCCTGTGCAGAAGGGATTCTAGACGATCACAACCACTGTGAACTTTCTGAATTAACGGTAACGAACATCACCTTGTGAATTTTAACAGTATGTGATCATGTGATAGAAAAAATTTGTTTATTTGTTTGTTTGTTTAGGGAGAGAGCTGGAGAGGAGCAGAGAGACACTGAGAGAGATTCCCAAGTGGTCTCTGTGCTGTCAGTGTAGAGCCCCGTGTGGGGCTCAGACTCACTAATTGTGAGATCATGACCTGAGCCGAAACTGAGTTAGATGCTTAACTGACTAAGTCACCCAGGCACCCCTAGAAAATGGTTTTTGAACAGGAATTGCTCATCCTAAACAAGGAAATACGTTCTACAAATACCTATTAAGCACCTATCGTATACTAAGTATAGATGAGGATACTATAATAAACAAGACCTAAAACTTAGCTTCACGAAATGTAGAGTCAGTCCCTTCTACTTTGGGGCCCAGACTCTTAGACTTAGATCTGATTAGCATCCAGGCTACCTGGATTCCCTATGTGATCTTTATTTGGAAGACCATAAAATTTGACTTGGCCTTTTTCTAGGGCTCAGAAGATAATATTTTTCTTTACAAAAGCAAATGACCAACTGATAAATCCAGATCATAGGTTGGTCCCTTTAAACTGAGAAATCCTACACTGTTCTCTGAGATCAAAGTCACTGTTAACCTAGTACAGATGCACACACCTCTTCTTTGAGGCTGTATGTTAGATCCTTTATGTCTTTCATTCTACGAAAAGAAAACAAAGTAACTTGATCTGCACTTGATGGAAAAATAAAATTGAAGAAGAAAGTCTGGGGATATCTCAGTAACTTATTTCGTAAGAAATACGATCGTTCCATATCCCAGGTATGTATATTAAAAATGTGAATAACTATGGTCAGAAGCTGCACTCAGTTATGTTTGCAGGGCCCCTCTCGTTGCACACGTTGTGGTTCTGGTTGTCTGGAGAGGAACCACTGCCCGATTCACCCGTAGCATGTGTCATACATGGGCCACCTAGGAGACACTTGAGGGTATTTGCAGATCATTTATTGTTTCATATTTGTGCTGCTCTCCCCTTCAACTGGCATAAACATCTGGGCGGGGGGGGGGGGGGGGGGGGGGCTTTGTTTAGATGTTTGGTCCCAGCTGTGACATGATGCCCTACTGTCTTACACAGAATTTGATTTAACAGAGCATTTTATTTTCAAAGGACACCACAAGTGAAAGCTATGGTGAAGATTCAGCAGCAGTTAGTTCTGTAGTACTAGGTAAGGATTTCAAAGCGACACAGGGGATGATACGCATGTGTACCTCTATTTGTGTATAGCAGATTTGAAGAGAGAGAGTACATCTTTGTAGCTCTGCCTTTTTTCTTCTCTCCACAGCAGCGGCCCAGGGTGAAGCCCAGTGGCTTCAGGAGGCGAAGAATCTGAGCGAGCAGCTGAGAGAATCCTATACCAGTGCCAGTTTCCGCCACATGTGTTTGCTTGAGGCCTCTCCCTCTCTGGCCACCGACCACTTGCTGGGCTGTGATCTAGCCCTGGCTTTAAAACACATCAGCAGTCCTGTGGAAGAGCCTGTGGTGTTGCCGGAGGTCTTTGCCAACTTGAACTCTGTCATGTGTGTGGAGGGCGAAGCAAGTAGTGGAAAGACAGTCCTGTTGAAGAAAATAGCTCTTCTATGGGCATCAGGATGCTGTCCCTTGCTGAACAGGTTCCAGCTGGTCTTCTATCTCTCCCTTAGTTCTACCAGACTGGACCAGGGGCTGGCCACCATCATTTGTGACCAACTCCTAAAAACGGAAGGCTCTGTCACCGAAACGTGCCTGAGGAACATCATTGAGCAGTTAAAGAATCAAGTGTTATTCCTTTTGGATGACTACAGAGAGATGTGCTCAGTTCCCCAGGTCATAGAAAAACTAATTCAAAAAAACCACTCAAGGAGCTGCTTATTGATTGGTGTACATACAAACAGGGCCAGGGACATCCGCCGATACCTAGACACGATTCTGGAGATAAAAGTGTTTCCCTTCTATAATACCATGTATTTATTACGGAAACTCTTTTCACACGATATGAGTTGTCTGCGAAAGTTTATGGTTTACTTTAGAATGAGCGAGAATTTGCGGGGAATTCACAAGACTCCTCTCTTTGTAACATCACTGTGTGCTAACTGGTTGCAGTATCCTTTGAACAAAGCCATTGATGGTGTGGCTGTTTTCAAGTCGTATATAGAATGCCTTTTCTTAAAGCACAAATCTAAAGCTGAACTTGTCAGAGCAACCGTGTCCTCTTGTGGCGAGCTGGGCTTGAAAGGTTTGTTTTCATCTTGCTTTGAGTTCAGTGATGATGACCTTACAGAAGCAGGAATTGATGAAAGGGAAGGTTTAGTCTCGTGCCTCTTGAGCAAATTCACAGCCCAGAGACTAAGACCGGTCTACCAGTTTCTAAATCCCGCATTCCAAGAATTTCTTGCAGGGAAGAGGCTGATTGAACTTCTGGATTCTGACAGGCAAGAAGATCAAGATTTGGGACTTGCTTATTTGAAACGAATTAACTCATCAGTGACGGCTGTAGGTCTCTACAGCACTCTTTTGAATTACCTCTCCTGCCACCCTTCAACAAAGGCAGGGCCAAAGATTGTATCTCATTTGCTTCATTTGGCAGATAGTAAAGAGTCATTGGAGATAATATTGAAAAACAGTAACTACTTGAAGCACCATCCAGAAATTTCAGAGAAGTTGGAATGTATGAGGTCAGTGTGGCAGGTATCTCCAGAAAGTTACTTTTCCATCGTTTCAAACCAGTTACTGTCTCTTGCCATAAAAATTGCTTACCAAAGCCACACTGTTGCTGCCTGCTCTCCATTTATTTTGCAGTTCCTTCAAGGGAAAACCCTGAATTTGGATGTACTTAATTTACCGTATTTTTTTGACCACCCAGAAAGCCTATTATCGTTGAGGAGCATCCAGGTCTCCATAAGAGGACATGAGGTACACACACTAGATTTGTCAATCTTGGAAACATGCATAGACAAATCACAGGCACCGACTGTTGATCAGGACTGTGTTTCTGCCTTTGAATCTGTGAGTGCGTGGAAGCAGGATATAGCTGAAAAAGAAGAAAACATAAAGCACTTTGAGAACCTGAGACTCGCGAAACTACCAGACATCAGTTCTGGCTACTGGCTCCTTTCTCCAAAGCAGTACAAGATCCCCCTTCTGGAAGTGCATGTGTCTGGAGGGGCCACTGTGAACCAGGAGATGCTCAGGGTTCTCACAGTCATTTTCTCAGCCTCGCAGTGCATCGAACTCCATTTACAAAACAGCGGGGAATTTATGGCCGGCATCAGCCCTGCTCTGGAGCAGAGTAAGAACTCTGTCACCAAGTGCTCAGTGTTCTGCCTGGAGCTGAGCACAGCAGAACAGGAATTGCTTCTCACCCTGCCTGCCCTGGAGTCTCTTCAAGTCTTGGGGACAAGGCAGGTACCAGGTACACCTGAATATATCTTAGATGACTATTCTGATGTGTAATTTTATTTTCGCACTCTTAGTTTTAGGTTGATGGAAACTTCTGAAAGCATGAGACCATAAATGCTGGCTGATAGAATAGATATAAGACAATCCTTTGACAAAGAGGGAATTAGATGACAAAAAAAAAAAAAAAAAGATAACCATTGACTAACCTATTTTTTCAATAGGATTAGTGAAAGGCCTCTGAATAATAGAATGCTTTTTGAATAATTGACATAAAATTAAAATATTAACCAATGAAAGCTTTTTTCTTAAAGTTTGCTTATTGATTGATTGATTGATTGCATATGGGGGAAGGGGCATTGGGATGGAGAGACAGATCGCAAGCAAGCTACGCACTGTCAGATGGAGCCCAACTCGGGGCTCAAACTCAAAGTGAGATCATGACCTGAACCAAGGTCAAGAGTCGGCCACTTACCCGACAGAGCCATGCAGGTGCCCCCCCAGTGAAGGCTCTTAATAACCAGACACAAATTACTTACTCGTAAAAGGATAGCGGCGCCTGGGTGGCGCAGTCGGTTAAGCGTCCGACTTCAGCCAGGTCACGATCTCACGGTCCCGTGAGTTCGAGCCCCGCGTCGGGCTCTGGGCTGATGGCTCAGAGCCTGGAGCCTGTTTCCGATTCTGTGTCTCCCTCTTTCTCTGCCCCTCGCCCGTTCATGCTCTGTCTCTCTCTGTCCCAAAAATAAATAAACGTTGAAAAAAAAAATTTTTTTTTTAAAAAAAAAAGGATAGGGGAGCCTGGGTGGCTCAATTGGTTAAGATCTGACTTCGCCTCAGGTCATGATCTCATGGTTCCTGAGTGTGAGTCCCACATGCGCTGAGCTTGAGCCCACTTCGGGTACAACAGGAGCCTTGCTGCTCTTTCTCTCTCTCTCTCTCACTCTCTACCTCTTGTGGGATTCTCTTTCTTTCTCCTTCTCTCTGTCCCATGCTCACTTGTGCCCTCTAAATAAATTCATTCATTCATTCATTCCATGTACCATGATGCTTGAGAATTACCCTTACCCTGCCTGCTTAACAGAAGAAAGGGCTTGTACCCTCTGGGAAATAATCGCTCTCATTTGTGTCCCCTGTCACTTGTCTAAGCAATATTTGAGAGGTTTCAGTGTTGCCTTTGTGTGTCCTGCATTACATTTATTCCTAGGTATTTTAGACACTTTTGTAAATAGTATTTACGTTGGTTTTTTTTTTTTTTTTTTTTTTTTTTTTTTTTTTAAATTTTCTGCTTCTACTATGGCTTTGGTTTTCAGCAGTTTGTTATATGCCTAGGTGTGCTTTACTCTGTGTTACCTTGCTGGAGGGTCACCGAACGTTATTAGGATCTGTGGGTAGATATTTATCCTCAAATTTAGAAAACAACATACTCTTTTTAAAATGCCTTTTTAGGGGCGCCTGGGTGGCGCAGTCGGTTAAGCGTCCGACTTCAGCCAGGTCACGATCTCGCGGTCCGTGAGTTCGAGCCCCGCGTCGGGCTCTGGGCTGATGGCTCAGAGCCTGGAGCCTGTTTCAGATTCTGTGTCTCCCTCTCTCTCTGCCCCTCCCCCGTTCATGCTCTGTCTCTCTCTGTCCCAAAAAAAATAAATAAACGTTGAAAAAAAAAAAATAAAATGCCTTTTTATGGTGAAATATTCCTAACACTTAACGTTTTAACCATTTTTGAGTGCACATTTCAGTGTCATTAAGTACATTTCCAGTGTTACACAACCAGCACTTTTATCCATTTCCAGAACGTTTTCATCGCTCCAAACGGTAACTCTGTACCAGTGAAACAGTACCTCCTTCCTCCACCAAGCCACTGATAAGATCTATCCTACTTTTCATCTCTATGAATTTGTCCATTCTAGGTATTCCATAAGTGGAATCGTACAACATTTTGGCTTTTTGTGTCTGGCTTGTTTCACCTGGCATATTTTCGAGATTCATTTGTATTGCAGCCTGTATCAGAACTTGGTTCCTTTGATAGCTAATCTTCCCATGTATATATCATGTTTTGTTTATCCATTCATCTGTTGATGGACACTTGCTTTGTTTCTTCTGGCTATTGTGAGCAATGTTGCTATGAACATGGGTGTACAAATATCTTTTTGAGATCCTACTTGCAATTCTTTTGGATATATACCTAAAAGTGGGGTGCTGGATGATGTTAACAATAATTCTAATTTCTTTGGAACCTCTAAACTGTTCACTACAGTGGCTACACCAGTTTATATTCCCACCAGCAATGTATGAGGGTTTCAGTTTCTCCACAACCTTGTCAACGCTTGCTGCTACATATATTTTTTTTAATTAGAAAGTCATCCTATTAGGTGAGAAATGGTATCCCGTTTTGGTTTTGATTTGCATTTCCCTAATGACTAACAGTGTTGAGCATCTTTTCATGTACTTACTGGTTATGTGTCCTTTTTTGAGACAAGTCTATTAAATCTTTGCCCATTTTTTTTTTAATTTTTTAACATTTATTTTTTCAACGTTTATTTATTTTTGGGACAGAGAGAGACAGAGCATGAACGGGGGAGGGGCAGAGAGAGAGGGAGACACAGAATCTGAAACAGGCTCCAGGCTCTGAGCCATCAGCCCAGAGCCCGACGCGGGGCTCGAACTCACGGAGTGCGAGATCATGACCTGGCTGAAGTCGGACGCTTAACCGACTGCGCCACCCAGGCGCCCCAACATTTATTTATTTTTGAGACAGAGACAGACAGAGCATGAGCAGGGGAGGGTCAGAGAGAGAGGGTGACACAGAATCCGAAACAGGCTCCAGGCTCTGAGCTGTCAGCCCAGAGCCCGATGCGGGGCTCAAACTCACGGAACGCGAGATCATGACCTGAGCCGAAGTTGGACGCTCAACCGACTGAGCCACCCAGGCGTCCCTATCTTTGCCCATTTTTAAAATAATTTTTAACATTTATTTTTTTGAGAGGAGAGAGGGAGAGACCGACAGACAGAACATGACCAGGGGAGGTGCAGAGAGAGAGGGAGACACAGAATCTGAAGCAGGCTCCAGGCTCCGAGCTATCAGCACAGATAGCTTGAACTCATGAACCATGAGATCATGACCTGAGCCAAAGTCAGACGCTTATCCTACTGAGCCACCCAGGTGCCCCATTCCTTGCCCATTTTTTAATTGTGTTATCTTTTTGTCTTGAGTTGTAGGAGTCTTTATAGAATAACTAATATTGTAGTTATTGAATCTTTAATGGACATATGGTTTGAAAATATTTTCTATTTTGGAGATAGTCTTTTCATTGTGCCAATAATGTCTTTAAATGCACATAAGTTCTAAATTACTGTTTTTGATAGCATATCTAAGAATACATTGTCAAAGCCAAGGTTATGAAGATTGACTCCTATCTTTTCTTGGGGTGGCGGTTCCATTTTGAGTTAGCTATGTATGGTGGTGGGAAGTAGGGTCCAACACCATTCTTTTGCATGTCGAAATTCTGTCATTTCAGCACTGCTTGGGAAGATGTCTTACTTATTTTTGTGCATCCAGAGTAGCACAGGGCTTCTCATAGAGTAATCAGTAGACACTACAAAAAGCAGCATGTTCATATATGTGCTTTCTAGAAACAAGAATGTTTTATGATATATGGAAGGTTTTTATTTGAAAATAAGAAAATAGATTGCTGACTCAAAATGACAGTTTCAAATTTTCCATTTGGAATTCCTTAGATTAATAATGGCAAACTGTGTGCTGATTTCTAGGTAAACTTCTTACTAATTTGGACAAGTTCCTATGCCTGAAAGAACTCTCTGTGGATCTGCGTCATCAACAAAATGTTTTTGCACTTATTCCTGAAGAATTCTTCAATCTCCACCACATGGAGAAATTATTGATCCAAATTTCAGCTGAGTATAGTCCTTCTAAGCTAGGTAAGGATGGCACTTTGATTGATGTGTTTTTGCATCGTTTGGAAAGGCAACTTGGCCAATAACTAAGAGTTACAGCTTTTGTAAATCTCAGGTTGTAGCCTGTATCCATAATGAATTGTGGGAATAGCACTCGTCCTCATTAAGAAAACAGAGAACTGTAGGGGCACTTGGCTGGCACAGTCAGTAGAGCCTGCAACTCTTGATCTTGGCCTGAGTTTGAGCCCCATAGTCAGTGTAGAGATTAAAAAAATCTTTAAAAAGAAAGCAGAAAGGTATTTGAAATTATTGAGCCCTTACTATACACATCCTAGCAATTGTTTTTTTCCTTAAAACTTTTAGCGTTTTTATTTTTGAGAGACAGAGACAGTATGTGAGTGGGGGAGGGGCAGAGAGAGACACAGAGATGCGGGGCTCAAACCCACCAAAGGTGAGATCATGACCTGAGCTGAAGTCATAGGTTTAACTGAGCCACCAGGTGTCCCGACATGTTAGGAATTGTTCTAAACATTTTACAAATATTAACCCATTTAATCTTCAGACCCTTCTATGAGGTAAGGTACTATTAATGTTACCTTAAAGCTAGGGAAATTGAAGTATAAAGAGGATAAGTAATTTGCTTGAGGTCAACCAGCTAAGGAAATGGTAAATCTGGTAAATCTGGGATTCTAGGAGTTCTGATTACTCCTAAGTCTGCGCTTTTAACCACTGGTAAAATGTCTCTCCAAACTATTTGGGACAATTATTTTGATTTTATTTAATTTGCTCTTAAATTTCAACTTCCAGATCTTCCAGACTGGAGTGGAGGAGGGGGAATCTGCTGATGGGTAGCAATTGGAAGTATTTCCCCTTTTCTCACCAGCCTATGCTACGGATTGAACAATTTGTGCAGCCATCTTTCCTAAATGCATCTTGTAACAAAATGACTTAGGTGTCCTCAATTCCTAGTTTAGTGAAGACTGAGCCCTACATATTGAGGCAATGTAAATCTCTGTGGAATTAACAGGAAGAGTTGCATGCTATAAAATTCTTGGAAGCTGAAAGTGGAAGTGGTAGTTTTCTTGTATTTGTCAGTAATTTTTACATCAAATTTAGGTTTGCATCAGATTTGTCATGGCTATTATGTTTCTTTGTATCATATTCCTACTGTGTAAATGCCGGTCACATGCAAACTTAAGACATTAGCATGTTAAAGCCTAAGGTGACCTTAGTCTAAATTCTTAGCTCTTATTTTATAAAAGAGAAAACTGATCCCCAGAGAGTGTCAGTAACTACCTGTCCAAGTTAACATAACTCACTGGTTAGTTGCAGAACTTGAACCTATAAGTGGCCCAATTCTTGGATCATTACTTCATGGTGCTTTGTTCTAACTCTGTATTGTTGAAACAGAATGATATGGCTAATTCTGAAAGAAATTTGCAATTTTCTCTAATTTCTGAAATCTTTGATATTTTATAGTGAAATTAATTCAGAATTCTCCAAACCTTCATGTTTTTCATCTGCAATGTAATTTCATTTCGGATTTTGAATCTCTCATGACTGCACTTTCTTCCTGCAAGAAACTCAAAGAAATTAATTTTTCTGGATCATTTTTCACACCCATCCCATTTGGTAAGACCTAAGATCATAAAATTTTGGTTTTAGATGCATCTGTATGCACAGTCATTTTAGGCACTTTTAAAAGGTAAATTTTATTAAATATGTACTTGAGGTCAAAGAATTAAGCTATTAGATCTGATTTTAAATGAATTTTCAAATAAGGTGTATTTGTTTCTGGAAGTTTAAATATTTGTAGTTATCAGAATTATTTCCTGAGCTTTAATTATTTAGTCATACTAATTAATAAAATCTGAATTACTGTATTGATTTCAGTCATTTAAAAAATACTCTTGGGGCGCCTGGGTGGCGCAGTCGGTTAAGCGTCCGACTTCAGCCAGGTCACCATCTCGCGGTCCGTGAGTTAGAGCCCCGTGTCAGGCTCTGGGCTGATGGCTCAGAGCCTGGAGCCTGTTTCCGATTCTGTGTCTCCCTCTCTCTCTGCCCCTCCCCCATTCATGCTCTGTCTCTCTCTGTCCCAAAAATAAATAAAAACGTTGGAAAAAAAAAAATGCTCTTTACATACATTTGTTGGTATAAAAAATGTAGCTGACATACCTATTTGTTTTCCCTTTTATAGTCACTGCTTTGCCAAATTTTATTTCCCTGAAGATACTAAGTCTTAAAAACCAACAATTTCCTGATAAGGAAACATCTGAAAAATTTGGTATGTTTGCAAAATTGTGCCTTTTACTTTTTATTCTTCCCCTGAAATCCTTCTTCTATTTTGTGTAAGCCACAGCAGATCACTATAGGTATTAGCGGCCCTTACTCATTTGGAGGAAGGGGCAGGGCTGCTCAGCTTTGAGCCTCCAAATGCCTGATCTCACTTGATCTCATTCAATAGTCACTCATTCTTAGAGTGACTTATTTCTTTGAATACATGTTTGGTCATTACAGCATGATGCAATTTCATTGTCAGGGACCCATTCCAAACCTGCTAAATCCCTGTTATGTCAAAGGTTTTTGGAATATAGATAAAACTATCTTTTCAAGGTTAAGAGAACTTTGTGAAAACTCAGAATTAGCAAAATGGTAACTATCGAAGTTGCCTAAATACTTACTCATTTTTTTTATGATTACAAAAGGAATGTGTGCTCATGGAAGAATTCTAATAGATGTTAAAAGATAAATGCAGGCATATTAGAAACTTTGAGAGTTCATTTGAACAAAAATGGATTTGAATCACGCAGTGTCCACTGAATGAAGGACATAGCTCTGAGAGGCTGAACCAAACGAAATATTTTTTTATAGGCATAAGGGAGCAGGAACAGGGAAGTTATAGTAGACAAAAAAGCAGGTGCGTTGGTTACTGTAAGGTTACTTTCCTTTAGAGGGGATGGCAGAGTTCTATTGCGTAGATTACCTAACCAGTGCTGATCTGGCAATTCCTGATTGGCTGGTTTTAGATTCCATTTCTGGGACAACTCAAACTAAAAATTAAGTCTTGGTTTAGTGATATGGGGCTAGGCAAAAGCAACTCATTTTGGGCTTTTTGCTTTTTTCTTTTAACACAGGAAAATATAAGAGGAGGCAGTGGAGATAGGGAGTATAGAGCAGTTGTGCTTCTCAAACATTAGCGTGATCACCTGGATGTCTCCCTCTTCCCTCCTCTCCTCTTGCCTTCCTTTGCAGGCAGCATGTGGCTGGGGGAGGAGCAGGAAGACTGAGTGGGGCAGAGGCAAAATTGAGGGGCCAAGGAGGTGGCTGGCATATACAACAAGTTGATTAAATTAATAATACATTAAGTATAATGAGAATCAAATTTCCTCATGGTTGGAGAAGGAATTGACAAATATTGAAAGGAGAGGCTAGAAAGAACTTTAAGGTATTAAATTAGATGTGGAAATACTGGTGTGGACTCATGGTTTTTAATGTTTATATATGTATATATATACACATGTTTATATATACACATATATATATGTGTGTGTATATATACACATACAGTGAGCTACATATCTCTCTATACACACATATACATAACTTGGTCAACTGAGATATTAAAAAAGATCCTAGTATTAATGAGTGCCCCAAATGCCAGATCTTGACTCCTAAATACTGGCCTCCCTAAAAGGAACCACGGTCTTTAGAGAAATGGCTGATAGAAGAACTGGATGGAACACAGAATTTAAATCCCAAGCTTGGAACACTGTTGGATGCTAGAAAATGTTAAAAATATTTCCAAGTCTAAGGTCTTAGAAGGAGATCACTTTCAAGTGATCAATAATGTACCAAGCCAAGGTGGGGTCGAAGTGCAAAGGTATAAGAGTAGCGGATTGTGAAGCTTTAGTGCTGGGAGGCAGAAGTAGAAGTCACTGAGGATGATATAGCAGGAGATAGGATTGAAAGGAAGGTGGCAAGCCATTTAAGAAGCTAGGAGAATATCCTGGAGGCCAGTAGAAGCTTGAGTCTAAAAAGGAAAAGGAAGTATCGTAGGCATTCTGGACCTCAGTGCAGGAGAGATTGGTAGGGGGACGGTGGAGGAATTGTTGACTGGAGGTAGCAGTGAGGATCAAGGTGTAGGCTGACCCCTTTCTCTTGCCCTTTGGAGAGGAAGAGGAACAGCCTCCATGCCACATGGGGCCTCCTGGACTATGCATGATTTTGAGGCTATACATTACCATTATTTGGTAACACATTGTATGGAAAATACCTTTTTTGTGTCTTCTGATAGCCTACACCTTAGGTTCTCTTAACAACCTGGAAGAACTGGAACTCCCTCCTGGGGATGGGATTCAGCAAGTGGCCAAACTGATCATCCAGCAGTGTCAGCATCTTCAGTTTCTTCGAATTCTCTCATTGTGCCAGATTTTGGATGATGACAGTGTGATGGAAATTGGTGAGTTAGCCTTAGATAAATGGTTTCAGCTTGCAGAAAAGCCAGTGTTAGTACTCAAGCTTTCTCTTGCAAAAATGTTGATAGCCTCCTGTTTGAGACTACACAGTGCCTCAAGTCTGTTTTGACTTTGTGTTCCTGATACCAGGCCACATATCCTCCATGCACTCCTTCTTATAGCATTTTAAAAACTGAAGATTACACATACAGAAAAGCACACAAATCCTAAGTGTACAGCTCAATAAATTATCCAGTAAACATACATCAACATTTTATTAACCATACTTGGTGGTTAACCATACTTGGTGGAAATCACCCAGATTACAGAGTATTGCAAAGATCACAGAAGCCTACTTCCGTGTGCTCTGACAACATTCCCCTCCTTTCCACAGGTGACCATTAGACCCCTTTTGTTCACCATAGATTAGTTTCACTGTTTTAAACTTTATGTAATGGAATCCCTCCCAGTATGTACTTTACCTTTTTTGGCTCACCTTTATATTCTTTGCATATTGCTACATGTGGCTAGCGTTCACGGATTTTCATTGCTATATATTATTCTACTGTATGACTATATATACACCTCAACTTACCCATTCAACTGGGTATTTGAGTTATTCTCAATATTTGACTAGTGTGAATAATGCTATGAACATTATGCATGACCTTTGATGTATGTATGGAAGTATGTTAGGGGCGGAATATGTGTCACACGGTATAGACAGATTCAGTTTTCCACAGTTGTACCAATTTACATTCCTACCAGCGGTTGTGTCACATTCTGGCCTGTACTTGTACTGTCAGATCTCTGAACTTGAGCCATTCTGATGGATCTGTAGTAGTATCTCATTGTGGATTTTTTTCTATTGGTATATTTTTATGTTTTATGATGGGTAAATTTCAGCAACTTAGGTTTTTTTGCTTTTTTTTAGAGAGAGATGAAAAACAGGGCAGGGGCAGAGAGGGAGAGGAACAGCATACCTGTATCCCTTAGGTAAATATCTAGTAGTGGAACTGCTGGGTCGTAGGGTAGTTCTATTTTTAGTTTTATGAGGAACCTCCATACTACATTCCAGAGTGGCTGCACCAGCTTGCATTCCCACCAGGAATGCAAAAGAGATCCTTTCTCCGTGTCCTCGCCAACATCTGTTGTTGCCTGAGTTGTTCATGTTAGCCATTCTGACAGGTGTGAGGTGGTATCTCATTGTGGTTTTGACTTGGATTTCCCTGATGATGAGTGATGTTGAGCATCTTTTCACATGTCGGTTAGCCATCTGGATGTCTTCTTTGGGCAAGTGTCTATTCATGCATTCTCTTTTTTTTTTTTTTTTTAGCTGATTGGTTTACCAATTTATTGCTTTCATTTCTTTTCTTACCTCTATTATCTTCTACAGATAGAAGGTTTTTGTCCTAACGTCTTGAGATGGGATAATTTCAGTGCTTTTGGCTTTAGCTCCATCTCACAAATTTTACATGTCATATTTTCAGTCTTACTTAGTTCAAAATATTTTGTTATTATTTATTTTTTGGCCACACCAGGTATTTAGAAAGGTACTGCTTAACTTCACTGTTAAGAAAGAATATACAGTATATGATTTTAATTTTGAAATTTGTTGAGACTTGTATTATGGGTCAACATAACATAAAATCACACTAAAATGGTCAATTTTAGTAAATGCTCCATTTTGCTTGAAAAAAAAAGTTTTCTGCAGTTCAAATGAAATGTTGAGGGATGCCTGGCTGGCTCAGTGGGAAGAGTATGTGACTCTTGATCTTAGGGTCATGAGTTCAAGTATGCTCACATTGGGCATGGAGCCTATTTAAAAAAAAAAAAGTTGAAATTATTGTTCAAATGTTTGATATTTTTATGGATTTTTATTTGCTTGTTCTAACTAGGACAGGGGTGTTAAAATCACCCCAATTAATCTTCTTTTCCCTTTAGTTCTGTTTTTACTCTACATATTTAAAATATATAGGTCCATACATATTTAGGATTTAAATCTAGCTACATAGAGATTTAGAATTGTTAAATATTCCTGGCAGATCAACCCTCTTTATTTCTAGTAAAACTTTTTGCCTTATTATCAGTCATTTCATCATACATTAATACAGTTGCTCCGGTATGCTTTTGGTATTTGCATCTTGGCTTTTCCCTTCCTTTTAATATTTTCATGTCCTTATATTTAAGGTGTGTCTCTTGTAAAAATCTATAATTAGGTTATTTTTCTTAATTTTTTTAATGTGGGAGACAGAGGCTCTGAAGCGGGCTCTGTACTGATAGCAGAAAGCCTGATGTGGGGTTCAAATTCACAAACCAGGAGATCAGGACCTGAGCCAAAGTCGGCTGCTCAACCTATGGAACCACTCAGGCACCCCTCCCCCCACATTTTGCCTTCGTTTTTGACATTTGTTTCAGAGAGTATGGAATTCGATTTTGGTGCTCATTTTCTCTCACATTTCTAGCTCCCATCATTTCTTTTGCTCAGCAGGCAGTCTTTTTTTGTATTTGAATGTAAGGTTTATCTGGCCCTGCTTTAGTAGCTTTTAAGATTTTCTTTGCTAGGGGCGCCTGGGTGGCGCAGTCGGTTAAGCGTCCGACTTCAACCAGGTCACGATCTCGCGGTCCGTGAGTTCGAGCCCCGCGTCAGGCTCTGGGCTGATAGCTCAGAGCCTGGAGCCTGTTTCCGATTCTGTGTCTCCCTCTCTCTCTGCCCCTCCCCCATTCATGCTCTCTCTCTGTCCCCAAAATAAATAAACGTTGAAAAAAAAATTTTTTTTAAAAAGATTTTCTTTGCTTTACGTTTTGTCATTTGCTATGAACTGAATTGTGTCCCTCAACGATCCATGTGTTGAAACCCTAACCTTTGGAGACAGTCTGCTTGAGCAACGACAACACAATACCCTACAATGGTAGTTGTACTACATTGTGCTTAGGTGTGGATTTCTTTGTATTTATTCTGCTTGGGGTTTATAGACCTTGAAGCTGTGGCTTGGTGTCTTAAGCCAGTTTGGAGAAGTTTTTGGCCAACATGCACATAGCTGCTTCCCAATTCTTTGTCATTTTCTTTACTCTCCTTCTGATAGCAGAACTCAACCTAATTTGGGGTCATAGGATCAGGAAAAAGAGTTCTATAGAGAACTGAAGAAAGAATGGCCCAGACACATTTGGGAGGGGAGAGACTGAGAGGCAGGAGGGGCGCCTAGGTGGCTTGGTCGGTTAAGCGTCCGACTTCGGCTCAGGTCATCATATCACGGTCCGTGAGTTCGAGCCCCGCGTCAGGCTCTGTGCTGACAGCTCAGAGCCTGGAGCCTGTTTCAGATTCTGTGTCTCCCTCTCTCTCTGCCCCTCCCCTGTTCATGCTCTGTCTCTCTCTGTCTCAAAAATAAATAAACGTTAAAAAAAATTAAAAAAAAAAAAAGGCAGGAATTTGTTGTGAGAATAGACTGGAGAGGAATGTAAAAGCCAGACTGGAGGAAGCTTCACAGGATGTGTTAGAAAGGGTGAATCTCGGGGCGCCTGGGTGGCTTAGTTAAGCATCTGACTGGCTCAGGTCATGATCTCACAGTTTGTGAGTTCGAGCCTCATGTCAGGCTCTGTGCTGACAGCTCAGCCTGGAGCCTGCTTTGGATTCTGTGTCTCCCCCTCTTACTGAAATGAAAGTCCTTATGATTCTATTTTCACCAACACTTTGCTTTTATAGCCAAGGTAGCAATCGATGGAGGTTTCCAGAAACTTGAGGACCTGAATCTTTCAGTCAATCACAAGATTACAGAGGAAGGATACAGAAATTTCTTTCAAGCACTGGACAACATGCCACACTTGAAAGAGTTGACTATTTCTAGGCATTTTACTAAATGCATCAAAGCTCAGGCCACAACAGTCAAGTCTTTGTGTCAGTGCATGTCACGACTGCCAAGCCTCATCAGACTTAACATGTTGAGTTGGCTCCTGGATACAGAAGACATCACACTGCTTACCGCCATGAAGGAAAGACATCCTCAATCTAAACGTTTATTTATCCACTGGAAATGGGTACTGCCATTCTCTCCAATTGTTCAGGAATAGAAGATGTACCTAAAAACTGAATTACAAATTTGTGTCAACAATTCTAAAAACTTCCCTCTCCAAAAACATTTTATTATGTCCTGCACACAAAAGGATATTTACAGTAAGGCATGTTAAAGAAAACCCCAAAACCACTACCAGAACCTTTGCAGTCCCTGAATGATTCTCCCCAACTAAATAGAGATCAGTTCTTCAATCAAGTTTATACACCTAACCCTCCATAATCGAGGATCAGCATCCAGTTTTCAGACTCACTGTGGTAAGGAGGATAAAAACAGCTATGGGAATGGAGTGAGGTACACAGATGGGCCTTACAGCCACAATATGGAAGAAGTATTCAAGTTACATATAATGTGAATTTCAAGACTGAATCCATTTTCTACATAAATGAAACAAGCCTTTACCACCAGTCCAGTTTAATCTTTTGTGGGCCAAGAGATACGCCTTAATACTTCTAAGATTTGTTGGGTATATTAATTTTGGTATAAGAGGCCCATACAAGGTAGAAGTAAGATTTACGGGAAAAAGTTCCTAGTACAGAGGCTTTTGATTCAACACTTACTGTATCAGCATAAAGTACAAAATAGCACTCCTAAGATTCAGACTAAAATGGAGAGGGCGCCGCCCTCGACATCAGGTTTGTTGAAATGCAGCCCAAGAACGTTTGAGCTGTGGGCATTTGGCTGACAAAGTGCCTTAGAGGTATTAGAGGAAGCCATTCGTGTGGGGGTACTGCGTTAGAAAAACCACGCGTTGCATTGATCTGCTAGAAGAACACACTGGAAGCAAGGAAAGAAGTCTCTTGCTCCTACAGTGTCTTACCACTACTCTCTACTGACAAAGCTTTATACTGTGCTTGCTGCGGGGACTGGTCGTTACAGAGTGAAGATCTATTACTGCAGAGAAGGGCAATAAAGGCTAGATTTGGACAAGAGAAGCAACAACTTGATAACTGATAAAACTATTACTTATTAAATAGCTTAGACCTAAACTAAAAAGAACCTTGTTAGATTTAAGATTGATAGGATGCACATAAATATTTATAGAAAACGTCTTACATGATCTAGAAGACACAGGGAACCGGCTAGTGATTGACTTCAGGGAGGGGGCCAGGATAGCAAGGGCATAGGAGGAAGGTCTGATTCTTTTTTCTTTGCAGATCTTTTGTACTATTTGAATTCTGTACCGTGTGTGTGTACTATTAAAAATGGTATTTTAAAAACTAAGAGAACTCCATGCAAATACCTTTCCAAACCTTCTGATAAGGGCTTCTACTTTAAAGCAGGGGTCTCCAAGTATGGCCTGAGCCTGTAGAGCCTCTGAGCGAAGACTATTTTTTACATTTTTCCAATAAAAAAATAACATACATGGGGCGCCTGGGTGGCGCAGTCGGTTAAGCGTCCGACTTCAGCCAGGTCATGATATCGCGGTCCGTGAGTTCGAGCCCCGCGTCAGGCTCTGGGCTGATGGCTCGGAGCCTGGAGCCTGTTTCCGATTCTGTGTCTCCCTCTCTCTCTGCCCCTCCCCCATTCATGCTCTGTCTCTCTCTGTCCCAAAAATGAATAAAAACGTTGAAAAAAAAAAAAAAAAAATAACATACATGTGACAGAGACCATGATCAGTGGCCTGCAAGGCTAAAATAATTCTGGCCCTTTACAACGAATGGAATACTTCCGTGACAGACTGTTTTTAGATTTTAAGACTACCATGCCCTTTTATTCCTGTATATGTTAGTCTCCACATGATGCCCAGGCCATCCCTCATTGCCCTGACCGTCACCCTCATGTTTCTAAACTTCTCCCTTTCTGATCACATGTTCCAACACTCTACCACTATCTAAATCCTTCCACTGTACCCTACCCACATGAGAAACATCCTCTACCATTCTCAACTTCTTATCCAAACAATACCTTTATCTTCTTGTTCTACCTTCCCCTTTCTCGAATTTTTACCATGACTCACAGTAACAAATTTCCTATCAACAATCGACACATTTATAAACATGTACACAAATGAACCAAGATTCACAAAAAACTCTAAAAGCTGTATGTGATTTTACTAATATGATTTACTAATATTCAGAAATAGAAAATTCCTTGAAAGAGTTGTTTATACAGTGTTTTATTCAATTGTTCTTTCTTACATTCTCTCCTGCAAGGCTTTTCCTTTCTCCATAGCACTGGAAGAGCTCTTAACGAGGGTCACCAATGATCTCTGCAATGCTCAATTTGATAAACACTAGTCTGCATCCTTGACTTATTCACAGCACCTGACCCAGCAGTAGCTTGATGCCGCTGGTCACTCCCTCCTCTCAAGTTTCATTTGGCTTCCAGGGCATTCCTTCTGGATTTCCTAACCAACCTAGAATTCTCTCAGCCTCCTTTACTGCTTTTTCTCATATCTGACCTCTAAACACTGATAGCTCTATGTAAACGCACTTGCTTCGTGATCTGGTCCTGTTGCATGGCTTTAAATTCCAAGTCTATGCTAACTTACCTATTTTCAGCTCTATCCCAGATCTCTCCTCTGAACTCTTGACTCCTATCTGACTCCTGTTAATGGGCATCTCAGATTTGACCTGTCTTAACCCAATTCCTGTCTTTCCTTTCCCACAAGTACTGTTGGTTACTTAATTTTTTTAGAGTGCATGCAAGCAGGGGAGGTGGCAAAGGGAGAGAGAGTGAATCCTAAGCAGGCGCCATGCTCACCTCAGAGTCCGACACAGGGCTCAACCCATGACCCTGGGCTAACGACTAGAGCAGAGGTCAAGAGCTGGGACACTGAGCCAATTGAGCCACCCTGGCAACCCTCCCACAAGCACTCTTTATGCTGACTTCTCCATGTCTTTAATTCTAGCTTTGTTCTTCCACTTGCTTAGGCCCAAAATCTTGGGGGGGTCATCCTTGATTTCTCTCTTTCATACTCTACATGTAATCTACTGGCAAATGCTGAGCTTACTTAGCATTTGTCAATAGATCCCATCACTACTGACCACTGGTCCTAGTCAGCCTGCTTCCTCCCTTGAAACTTATGGCCTATTTTCTATTAAAAAAATTTTTTTTAAGCTTATTTTTCAGAGAGGCAGAGGTAGCATGAGTGGTGGAGGGGCAGATAGAGAGGGACAGAGAGAATCCTAAGCAGGCTAAGCGTAGCCAGTACAGAGGCGGATGTGGGGCTGGAACTCACGAAACCATGAGATCATGACCTGAGCTGAAACCAAGAGTCGGACGCTTAACCAGACTAAGCCACCCAGGTTGCCTGTAAGGTCTATTTTCAACACAAAAATTGCAGTCATAAGACTCTTCAATACATTAGATCACGCTATGCCTTTAGTTCAACACCTTCCAATGGATCCCAGATCAAAGTAAATACAGTGGTCTGTGTGACCTGACCCCTGACTACCTACCTCTCTTACCTCTATCTTTTTAATCTCTCCTCCTTGCTCACTTCCATTCCAGCCATACTGATTTCTTTTTGCCATTCCCTGAACAGGCCAAACTTATTCTTAGGGCCTTTGTGCTTGTCATTTCCTTTGCCTGGGAGGTTCTCTATTTATGCGAATGGCTCTCATTTTCTTCACATCTCTGCTCCAATGTCAGCTCAATTTCCCTCACCATTCTTTTTTTTTTTTTAACTTTTTAAAATTTTATTTTTAATCTCTACACCCAAATGGGGTGAACTAACAACCCCGAGATCAAGAGTCGCATGCCCTACTGACTGCGCCAGCCAGGTGCCCCCTTGACCATTCTTTTTAAAAAATCGTCCACAGGGGCCCCTGGGTGGCCCAGCAGGTTAAGTGTCTGACTGTTGATTTTGGCTCAGGTCATGACCTCATGGTTCACGGGATCAAGACCTGTCCTTTGAGCGTGGAGCCTGCTTGGGATTCTTTCTCTCCCTCTTACCTGTTCTCGCGTGCTCGCTTGCTCTCTGAAAATAAACAAAACAAAGCATTCACATTCCAATTGCCTTCTGCCTAACCCCCTTTCCTGCTTCATTTCTGTCTATGGCATGTATTACTATTGCCACCTTATACATTTTGTTTACTAGTGTTCCCCACCAATGTAAGCAGGAACTTTCGTCTGTTTGGCTTACTGTGGTCTCCAAGCACATAGAAGAGTACCTAGCACATAAACAAAACTGAATAAATAATTCCTGAGATGAATGATTTGCCAGAACCTGCAACCACTTTCCAACAGCATTAGGTATCAAAAGACATAAGATGCAAAAATGTCTCTGAAAGCAAATAAGCTACCTTCATAACTGAATTTAACCTGCCACACCTACTTAGGCAATGAAAATATGCAGAATGTATAAAATACTGGCTGACTGTCATGAAAAATAAAAATCTACTCACCGGTACCAGAAAGCTTAAGCCACTGAATATCCCATTCTGTGAAGCTTACTTACCAGGAATTGAATGTTCATTTTATTCAACAAATATGTACTGGGCAGCTACAAACAGGTTAGGCATATTTAGTGTTTCCAGGCAAAATCTCTGAAAGAAATAGAACTTTTTATATTAACCTCTGCTCCCACAGCTAAAAGGACTAGGAAGAATCCCTGGTCAGGCTCTGGGCTGATGGCTCAGAGCCTGGAGCCTGTTTCCGATTCTCTGTCTCCCTCTCTCTCTGACCCTCCCCCGTTCATGCTCTGTCTCTCCCTGTCCCAAAAATAAATAAACGTTGAAAAAAAAATTTTTTTAAAAAAAGAATCCCTGGTGCATGGATACCAATGCTTACACTCAACTGAAACAATAGGATTTTCTCCCTCTCCTGAGAATTTGAAGTGACACACACATAGTCAAATGGATGGTAGACGGAACCACAAGGTAGTGATGAGGGCAGAATAGCTTGGACAACCATGTTAGGCAATGGGCATGATGAAAATGTGAAGGAAGCTAGATGAAAGGCAGATAGGTGAGAGAAAGAGGAGAGGATAATGACAATATGACTTCCAAGAAACGGAACAAGGCCGTGGTTCCTGACTGGCGAGGTCTACTC